GTTAAATATCTAAATTGTCATCGTATCCTTATGTGTTTAAATCTCTAAATTATCCCTAACATCTCTTTTAATTTTCTATTCTCTATGTATAAATATCAATATCTATAAAAAAATTTAATTGACTATGTTACTTTTAAAAAATAAGCATTTATTAGAATATTGACAATTATTATTATTTTTTTCATTAAATTATAAGTTGAAACCTAATCAAATAAATTTTAAAATGAATTATTTTTAACTTTGTTTCTTATAGTTAGAATAACGAATCATTGGGAATAAACAAAATTTTTAGAATTCTATAGTATAATGCGAGCGATAAAAACATAATTTTTATAAACTTGAGATGATATTTAATTTAGATACATATATACCTAAAAAAAATTTATTAATATTTTATGTACGAAAATTATTTACGTGCAACGCACGTGGTGTATTACTAGTATAACAAATGTGAGGTCCTACCATACACTTTTTTTTTTGTCAATCTTAAGATTTTACACTTAAATTTTTCAGAGTGGGGTACAGATAGCCCTGACCATTGTAGAAGCAACTTGCAAACATGATATGAAGTCGAAATTTTTTGTATAATTAGAAGGTTTTGATTGAGTTTTAGTTGATTTAGGTAGTAAAAAAGTAAATCAGTTAGACCAACTAGGTAAATGGATCGACATAAATTTTTTAAACATGATATATCTACTGAACAAATTCCGCACAATGTGAATTTGACTACATACAATTATAAATAGATGAGTGGATTTAACACTGATTAACAGTCTAGACAGACAGACATGGGTGGCCCCAGATAGGTTCTAGATGATCCTATTCGATCAAAATCTATGTCATGACTCACTTTATGTGAATTTATCATTGTATGTCATGGCTGAATGATTTTTTTCACAGTTCACTCACTCTCTCTCTCTCTCTCTCTATGATTAAGGGTAAAGCTGAAAGTTCAGTGGGAGGATAGCTTACAGTGAGGTATATTTATGGTTTTGTACTCTGAAACTTTTTATCAATTGAACGATCTTTCAAGTATAGTTTTTCTATAACGGTTTTTTCTTCTTTAAGCTTATGTTGGATTCGTTTGATTCGTCTGGCTGTTTATATTTTCTTATGAAGACATTTGGTTTCTAGTCTCTATTAAGTAACAACCACAACTTGAGATATTTTTGCAAACATGGAGGGAAAATAATTTTTAAAAAACTTTTGATGGTTATTTTTGTTTGGGCTTGTCAATTGCATCTGGTTATACAAGTTCGCGTATAAGTGATATATAAACAAGTTATGTCGTTTATTTTTTTTATTGACCTCACTCATGTTTGATTCATTTATTAACAAGTGTTTTGTTGGGTCCACTAGTGTATGAAATGGGTGGATTAAAAAAGATTTAAAACTTTTAATTTCATGTTGTGTTCTTGTTGTATTAACAACAGGTCATGTTATATTTTTAACATCCATAATTTTGACACAAATAATATATCCAAAAATTCATTTTTTTTTCTTCTTCAATTTTTCTCATTTGTGGATTGAATTCATGCTTTATCAAGCTGCCAAAACATTAATTCTTGGATTTTTTTTTTTTTGTTTTATAATTTTTTGTCTGAATCCTTATTTTACCAACATTTCATTATTTGTGTGTGGGTACCTTTTGCTCTCCCTGTCCTGTAGCTCTTCCAGGAATACAAGATCAAAATAGTGTATTGTGATATGATATGATAATTGATGTTGTGGTGATGGTGATGGTGAAAATGATGAGTTTTGAGAGATGTAAAAAAAATAACCCAAAACACAACACTTTTATTGATTTGTGGTAAAAATAATTACAAATACATAATTTTATCTTTGCATGCTAAGGTACGTTTTCGTGACAAAAGAACAATAGTAGTGTGTCAAGGAGACCTACCCTCCAAAATTAACATCTCATGTGAACAAGCCGATGGCACTGTGCCTCTTTCATCTTACTATTGACACAAAATCGAATATCACCACTCTAGAAACAATATTATTTTTTTTGAGCAATATTTGTTTTTCTCTTAAAAATAATTAAAGCCATTGACAAGCTACAAACTCATTCTTAAACCTATCCATTGTTAGTATCCAAATGATTATTAAAATTCTCTTCTTTTTTTTTGCTAATTATACGTTCAAAACAAAAACGTCTTGTTATAAGATTTATAATAAGACTTGAATATGCTTTTGTTAGTGAATTTATCGTTTAATAAGATGGTCTTGTGGATTTAAAAAATAGATTGAGAACTTGCTAGTACATACCAAGCATTCTCAATTGTACCTCATTGAGGATCATGGCTCGATTCCTATATTTATCATTCCAACCAATTTATGTCATTAGTCTTATACCAATCAAATTCTAGTATCTGCTACTAAATCTTTTTTATTGGGGGGTTATAATTATAATGCAGGAACGATCGTACAAACCTAGATAGACTACTCATGGGTTACGTTATGGGGATATCATTGCCAGTGATTCTGCTCTTCTTGATCCTAGCCATTGCTTGTTACCTTCTTGGTAGGGCACGGATCAGAGAAGAAACAGGGAGAGCTCCACAATATTCTTCGTCTCTGGCACCTCCTGTTGGGGTACAAGACTCCCAAAGCCCCTAGAAATAAATTGTTGAAATTTTATCCTTGTATGAATCTATGAGTAAGTGTTCATTGTTCAAGCGACACGTTATGAGTTTCGGAGTTTGTATTTAATATAGTATTTTTTCTCTGTTTTCGCCGTTGTATTACTTAACAACATTTTGTACTAATAAAGCAGTGTGAGAGTTGCATATAAATCCATCAGCAAAGTTAGAACGATTACACTTATGTGTGTGTGAGTGTGTGTTTGGACAAAGAGGGGGCGAGATCGAAGAAATATCACCCTGAAAAAAGGGATGATTACACTTACAATTGGGATTTTCATGAAAAGAAATGTTGTTTGGGCAAAAAAATATAACAATATTTCTGATTCTCTTCATCACAGTTATTAAATAAGAGTCTCAATAAATATTGAAACTCATGATTAAATGTATTGTTGGAAGTCAGCAAAAGTTATCAATATTCTTTGTCTGATGCTCCATTTTGTAGGAAAAATACATTTTTATCTTTTAAGGAAGGAAAGTAAGAATGATACACTTTCCTTCTTTTGTATTTAGTAGGATGAATGAAAAATAAAAATAATAATATTTTTTTTTGTACTTGATAAAATGGAAAGAAAAATTTTAATTTTAATTTTTTTAATTTTTAATTTTTTTAAAAAGTATAAATATATATTTTATCATTATATTTATATATAAAATTAATTTATACATATAATCTATATAATAAAACAGGATAAAAATTAAATTTTATTCCCATTATATCTTCCCCCCAAAACTATCTCAACCTAAATCAATCCAATCCAACCAACCCAACCCAACCATCACCGCATCCAACACACAGAACAAACGGCTCCCTGGCAACACACAGAACAACGACTCCATGTCCTCTCTCTCTCAGTCTCTTCTCTCTCGGTCTCTTCACTCACTTCCCCAAATCCATGCCGACAGGCGGCGAGCATCAGCGCCCAACCCTCAATCACCACCTCCTCCCTCCCCTTAATCACCCCCTCCTCTCTCTCTCTCTCTCTCTCTCTCGCGAGCATCAACGCCCAGCCCCCAACAGCGCCCAGCCCTAGGCTCTCCAGGTATCTCTTTCTCCCCTCCTCTCTTCTCACACCCGCGCACAGCTTCCCTCTTCCTATCTCTCTCTCTCTCTCTCTCTCTCTCTCTCTCTCTCTCTCTCTCGCTCGCTCTCTCTTACTGGGATCAGCTTAAAATGTGCGTATAGTGACCAAGAAGCTACATTTTCTGATTGATTCAAGAATGGGCTTATGTGCTTGAGTGTAGTTGTCAGTATTCTTTGATCTCTGGTTTGTGCTCAGAGTTTTGGACTTTATAACGTAGTCAATTTTTGGGTTTTTTTTCCTCAAACCTTTTCTGGGTTTTGTCCTTATCCGAATGGTTGTGGAGAAAATTAAGAGAAAGAAAATTGCCGAATGGTTTGGGTAAAACTTTTTTCTGCGTTCTATGTTAATAGTGTTGTGTTCTATTTGTTTTTTTTTTGTTTTTTGGAATATGAGGATCAACACACTGATTAACTTAGTCTAGCAGTTGAATTAATTTCTGTTGAGTAGGTTTTATTTACATTTAGTGAATAGCTTTAGATAGACTTGGATATGCTTCATGATTGAAGCCATCTTTGATTTTTTCCAGTTTATTTTTCATTCTGTTGAACAGGTGGTTTCACCTTTTCCAGATTATTTTTCATTCTGTTGAACAGGAGTCAAATCAGTGCAAAGAGAGACTGAAGAAATTCTGGGTTCCATACATTCCATTAGAAAACCGGAAACAGTCTCCATTTTCTTGCCGAATTTGCTGTCCATTTTTTTTTTTATTTATGCAGGACATGTTTGTCATTGCAAGGTAGCTTTGAAATCCTTTGTCATATAAGTGATGCTCGGTAACTTCATTTTTTGAAGGGACTCTCAGGTTGAACGACTTAAGTCCCAAATTTTTATTTTGAGCTGCACACGAAGAAGGTATTATTCCATTTCCTTCTCCTATCTCTCTCCCTCGGTGTATATAAATCTTTTGTGTTGTATTATGGCTTCACCTTTGAATTATAATCATACAATGCTTTATGGATTTCGTCAATCATGTTATAATGCCATTTTGTCAAACAATGTAGTTTTTATGGGGGATCAAGAGTAAAATTACCAATCAACTTAGATTGATTTGCTCCTTGACTTGGATTAAATTTGCTCCTAACCCACACACACACACACACAGCAGCAGCAGCAACAGCACACAAAACACACACACACAAACACAAACACAACGAATTTTGGTGTTATAATAGAATTTTTGGTTCAGGTACTGCTTTGATAATTAGGAACTCATCATCTTCGTCTTCCGCAAAATGGGTCTCATCATTTGAGCTCCAATCTGTGAACCCAGTTAGAAAGATTTGGACTCGCCGGTAGAAAGGTATAGAACCCTCTCTCTCTTTCTCTCACACACACACATTAATTTATGTAAATTGTAATGCAGTTTGTTTCACACAGCAACTGGTGTTCATAGTTATTTTGTTTCTCTGTGTATTTTTTTTGGTTGATGCATGTAGTTTATATGCGGTATTGATTTTTCTACTTTTAGGTTTGTCCTAACCAGCTGTTCTGTGGTGGTGGTGTTCATAGTTATATTTGTGCTCTTACTAAGTTGATTCTTGGTATTTCTTGGGACAAGTGTATTTGGACCTTTTTGTATATTTATGAGGGTTATGCATTCACAACTCTTTCCCTTCACCTCTCTGTACTCCCTTTCCACCCCCCAGCTCCCTATTATAATTTGTTCTAGGAAGGTTGATAGACAGTGAAAGGGTTCCTAATACAAAATTAAAGAATTCACCCATGAATGTCTGAGTTATTGATCCAGATTCTATACCAACAATTTGCTTTAGAGATGATAGGAAATGCCATCTGGACAAAATAGGTAACACTATTATCTAACCATGTGAGCTGACGAAATATTATAACACTATTAAAATTATATAACCATGTGTTTTTGATTACTCCACACAAACCTCTTTGTTTTTTTCTTGAATGTCAATGACTTTGTTGTCCCAATTGCTTAGGTGGGATCTCATGAATTCATCTATTTGTGGCAGAAGTTGGTCTCTAATCATGGTGGGGCTAACAAGGGCAAGCAAGGACTCTCATGTTTTTGTGAGTGGAACCATGAACAGCTGCAATGTTGCATTCCCCTAATTTGTCAAGCATGGACTGTGGATTAATGACCCCGAACTTTAGCATTAATTTTAATTTCTATCCCAAACTTTTTTGAATTTGTACACACCCACCACATGTTCGATGAAATTTTTCAAAGAGTTGCGGACCCATTGCTGCCAACAAAAGGGTGACTCTCTCATCTTTTTTGCACTCTCTACTTGCTATTATTTTGATGAATTTTATGGGTTTGACGTAGGCCATGGTGTCATGTTGGTATTACTGATAGTATATGGAAATGCTTTTACCTTGCCATTCTTTGTGCTTTTGTGACTGCATGTATGCTTGTAAGTTGTAATGTTGCTTCTGTTTGATTGATTGCATTGTAATTACTCGGGACGACTTGGTGTAGAATAATTGTAATGGTTTAAATATAAAAAATTTGAGTAGATTTTGTGTTTTTTTTTATATGATTGCAAACATTACAATTATTTGTGAACATTACAATATAAATAATTGTATGTTTTTTGGGTTTGTCGATGACTTCGCCCACCCGTCATTGTCATAGCCGAAGTCAAGGTTTGATTTGTGTGAGTTTGATTTTTGTTTTTATGAAATTTGTGAACTGACGTGGTTATTGTTCAGAACTTCTATGATAAAATCATTACCACTTCTAAATAAATTTTCAGGGGATCCAATGATGTTTTTGTCAAATTGCTAGACGAAGGCTTCAAGGACTATACTGCCAATCACATGTTAGATTGGTCTTAAAAAATTTTAATGTGTTTGTGTACAATGTTAGATTGACTTCTTTATGTTCGTGGAGTGTTCTTGATTTAATTTAATTTTTTTTAATTTAGGTTGTCAAAGTATTAGTTGATGACAACTTTTGATCTTTTTTATTTTACTAAAGTCATGATATTAAAAATGACTAAATGATTTTCAACTTAATGTATGTTTATGTTCATTGTTTGATTATTTCATGTTTAAGAACTATGTACGTTGTCTTCTGACACGTGATATATGACGAGTTTAGACTTTCAATTTAGTACGTGTCCGAGTTCAATGCTTGATTATTTCACGTTCAAATTTAATGTTCGATTTTTTTTAGTTGCACCATATCTTCAGGTACGGGTTATCCTTAGTATATATATATATATCAAATAATATATAAATAAATAAGATACATTTGAACACAGATAATTAATTTTTCATCTATTTTCTTTCTAATTTTAGAGAGATTGATTTTGATGTGTTCGAAGGAAAATTTATTCGTCCACTTTTTCATCATTCATATTTTCCTTCGTTATCAAATATAATATTTTATCTACCTCTTCAACTTCTATTCTTCCAACTTTTTATCCTTCTATTTTCCCTTCGAACCAAACGGTGCATAAGTAACATTGCTCTTTTCATGAAACATATGACAGCGTCTTGGTATCTCATAAATGCTAGTGAGACCCTTTAAATTTCATGTTTTGCATCAAAAACTAGAGTTGACATTGGGCAAAATGAAGTTCTAAATTAATTCCACATTTTTCTCTATTTTTGTTGATTTTTTTCGTTTTCTTAACTCATTCAAACAAGGGTGGAATGATAATTTATCAATTACTTATCTTGTATATGGTGTTTGTGTCTTTTTTGAAATACCCATGCACTATCAATAACTCTGTGTCTAAAAACACTCTATAATATAAAATTCGAGCATTGATAGTAAAAATTTTTGTATGCTAAAAAGTAATTTATTTTTTTTAATTATGCAATTTAAAATAAAAATAAATAGAGAAAAAATAAGTAAGAAAGAGAGAAGAGAGAGGTAAGTGTGGATTAATGAGGTTATTTGATGTTGGGAATTGTGTTGGTTGAATTGTTTGACATTGAAAGTCTTGTAGTGAAAATGATAATTTTGAGTGAAAAAAAAATTTTGGAATGAAATTTTTATCATTCCATCAAAGTAGATGAAAATTATATTAATTTTGACTGTTGTTGTTTTTTTTTATAAATTGAGAATTCAATTAGGGGTGTTAGTCAAATTAATAAGAAAAGAAACAAACTTCTGCAATAGATAAATTCAAATTTTCTCCAATTTATTTTTTTCAATGTTGTTGAATAACAAATCACAAATATATGTAGTGGGTGTTAACCGAATTGCACACCAATGATTGTTTTTCAGATTTTCTTATTTGTATATATATTAACAGATTAATTGGAACATTGATTGAAATTATTCTCTATCATTTGTCATTTAACTACTATAAAGTTTTTTAAAAGGTGAACCGGATCTTTTAAAAATATTTGACCTAATATTTTTTTTGGCCGGTTCATGGAATTAAAACATGACAAAGAATATGACTTTTCAAAAAGAAAATGTTACATAATTCAAATGAAGTCCAAAAAATTCAAATTCAAATACATATCATCCCTTGAATGAGTGTGGGATGAATGAGTTTCGCTGAAAAAATTGATGGAACTAATTCATCGAAGAAATGATATGTATTTAAGTTATAATTTTTTAAATTTCATTTGAATTTTGTAACCTTGCATAAATTTTCAAAATTTGCTCTATGTTTGAGCAACTTAACCTTTTTTTGTTTTTAATTAGTAAACCAATTCTAGATGTGCACAACATAATGATAGATAAAACATGTGATTAATATTAGTTAAAAACTCGCAATATTCCGCCTCGACAAGATGTGAAAGTTAAACCCATAATATAAAATTTAGTAATGCTAGACTAATCAAATTTTAGGATTAAATTTGAAACTCAAATGACATGGCAGTTAACTTGGACTTCTTTGATTGGTATGATATCATTTCTGTCCCAATAAAAATTTCAAATAATTAACTGTCATGTCATTTGAGCTCCAAATTTAATCCCAAAATTTAATCATATTACTCTATAAAATTTGATCAATAAAAATTTACACGACATGAAAGCGACTATAATTTCAAATGGCGACAATCCTTTGTCGTGTCACATGACTCAATTAATTATCTTAACCCATAACAATTAATATGATCACATGCAGTTGTTGCATGACATTATCTGGACTCTAAGAAGTTTGAATACTTACTCCCCGTGAAGAACGATTGATCAGAAAATTACAAAGGCCCACGTGCTTCATGAAAAAAGGAAATGAAAGGGCACCAACCAGAAGTGTGAAACGTGAGTCTCTCTGTTCCTCACATTCAAAAGGTGGTGGAGGTGGTGGTTGGAGAAAGGTCTTGATCATGATCCTCATCTTTCAATATCTACCATTTTCTGTGGGGCCCCGCAAATTTTACCCACCTAACACACATTCATTATATTGGGTTGGAGTTTTTTTTTTTATCCAAACTTGATACTGGAATGAATTTTTATGTCAGATTGGACAATTTATATGCTACCTCTTCTATGGTAAAGTGGAGTTGTTTGAAGTTGAGAAGTTAAGGAACTGTCCAATCTCAGTCGATCACGAGCTATGATCGAATTTCATTAGTCAAATGAATGCAATATTTGTGCATAACTTTAGTGGGTTTACTTACCAGCTTATGTCACACAGTCTCACTTAACCGATTCAGAGATTTAACAATAATAAATTTTCTTTTAATTATCCTAAGCTACACTAATACAGTTTGACAAGGATTATTTTGAAAGGATAAAGAGAGTAGAGTATCTTTTATAGTACAAATGTTAAGAACTGATGAAGCAAATTAGATTTATTTTGGGAGATTCTCAGGCATGAAAATGAGATTCATGATATAATTATGCAATTTATCCTCGTTTAGAAAAGGAACAAACCACAATATTAGGTGAACTTTATCATAATTAATTTATCACAATACCACTTTATGTGCATCGACTGATAAATTATAATATGGGCTAAAGAGTGATAAACCTCATATATACAAATGTGGTAGGTATTAGATTAGTAGCTTATATGCCAAGAGAGGGTTACAATTCTGAAGATGCCGTACTTATTAGCGAGTGTTTAGCATATGAGGATATTTATACTTCCTTTCACATTTACATTGTACTAGATAGTTATTGAATTTTATGGAGATAGTTTATGCTTATGTGAATATTTGTTATAGAATAATGATATTAAATATCATTGACGACATAATATCAACTTTGTTATAGATGTGGGAGCATCAACTCTGTTCTTGTGGGCTTTTGAGGAGCGGGAGAAATTGTTGGAATTTTATGAAAGAGTACCAGGAGCCATGATGCATGCCAATTTCATATGATTAGGTGGAGTGACACAAGATCTACCTCTTGGCTTATTTCGAGATATTGATTCCTCTACGCAACAATTTATTTTTTGTTTCAACGAATTAGAAGAGATGTCAACTAACAACCATATATAGAAACAAAGATTAATGACTATTGGTATTGTTACTTGAATAATGATATTATATCATGATATGGTATCACATTTATAACAAATATTCACTCCTCGAGAGGAAACGAAATGTATCATCCTGGGATTGTGTGTACATAATTGCTGACAAACATAAGAGAGACAATTTTTTATATTTTTTATGCTGATGACAAAATATTGTAAACCTATGAAGCATGGATATTTTGTCAAGATCAATGAATCAGTATCGAATACGATACTCCCTGGATGCATATCGGATAAATATCATACGTGTCCAATAATTAATAAAATATGTAGATATTTTGCAAATACTTTTAAATATGGATCAAGATTTATAATTTATAATTTTAATCTATGTCATCTCTTTTCGAGTTCATATACAATACAAAATATCAACGGGACCGGTCCAACAGTATAATAAAAAAAATGTGGGCTTTAGGACCCAAATTTTAAAAAGCCCTATAATTTAGATACATTACTATCCCACAAAAAAAAAATTAAATCCATTAAATTTTAAGCTCTTCAAAAAAGCTCCAAAAAAATTAAATCCAATCAAAATTTTTATTGCAGAAATTTGGGTTTATAATCCAATCCATAACATTAAAATCTTAGAAATTAAAAAAATTAAAAAAAGTTAACTCATATTTACTCTCACCCATTTTCTCTCTCTCTCCCTCTCTCCGATAAAAAATATAAAAAACAAA